ACATAAGATAGTCACACTCAGAATAAAACCAGCACAGCCTAACATTCAATTTCAATCCCAATTCAGCTTGCCAGGCATAAAAACCATTAGTTTCCTCTAGTAGAAACTATGATAAAGCAAACCAGCAAAGCGTACAACATTCTTACTGAAAAACAAGAAGTGTAAAGCTCCAAAAGCTGATCTATCCCAAGTATCTGCAAAGAAGTATGAGCTCAAAATTAGTTTGCAACATATTTTGCATCGATTCTCATAATAAACAATAACTTAACAATATCTCATTGGTAAAACTTCGGTGAAACAGAAAGGAAATATAGGATTGCATGCATTATTGCATTCAATACTTGAAAAAAAAAAAGATACCAAAGAAAAACATACCAAGTTAATTTAGTTTTCTTTGACTTCGCATGAGGCTTCTCTTGGGCTTCCTCATCTTCTGAAGAACTATCAACTAACTCATCAGGCACATCATTTGGAACGTTATGCTTGGTGATAAAATCCTTGAGTATGTTCATGGTTTCCTCTTTCACTGAAAGTAATTGCTCAGAGATACTGCCACCGTTCCTGTTTACAGAATATTTTTCTGATTCAAGCCGAAGTGTGACTTTAACCCGAGGGTTAGTAGGGATAACCTCATGAGTCTGAACATCCATGATCACCTTGCAAGCTTCAGATTTTTGCCATAGTAACAATTAGTATCCAGTGTCTAACTCTTCAACTATAATTAAACAAGAACTCCCTAAACATAAATTTTAAATTAAATGTTTTTCGCATTCACAACAGTTAGAAATGGAATCAAACACCACAAATTTATTGATTTGATTTTAGAAGTTATCAGTTCAGGAAAAATATAAAGCAGGAAGGCGTAAGACCCTACCGTATAATGCAAGCTATTAAATAATTTGCATAAAACATTAAAATTCTATCTAAGGTGTCAGTACATTTGTCCTTCATTCATCACTAATTAAGATGTCTACAAACCATGGGTGGGAGATTTAAAATTCACCAAAAGAAAAAAAATATAGACTAGAAACCACAAAAAAGGAAATGAAGTAAAGTACAATAAATAAAATGAATACTTCATGTTACTTCATGCATCCTTTTGACATTTTCTTTTCAGATTTTTATTTTTTGTCTCTCGTTTCTACTTCTTCTTCATTATCATTTCTAATCGTTCTGAGTTCAAGAATCCCAATTTAATACAACTTAGATGACTCAAATTAATTCATCCTTCTCTTTGCATCAGATATCCCCAAACCATGATTTAAATAACATACTAAACATTGAGTGTGCAAAAATCAGAAATTTAAAGAACAGAAAAAATCATGATAAAAGTTGAATTCACGTGACTCAGAAGCACAAAAGAAACGGTGATAAAGGAAAAAAAAAAATAGTACTAAAAGAATGATGACACACACGAGAGAGAAGCACAAAAGAACAGCAATACCCGAAGTAAACACAACCGGTAGACTAATTAATTCCTAAATTAGGGTCTAAATTAAAACTACAAATTAACCATAATCAAAAATAGAAATCCAACTCAATATTAGAGATTTATGCTGAGCAGTAATACCCAGAACAAATTTAAGTGATTTCCACAATCATTTCATTACCTGCCGGTCACTAAGAAATCCATATTTCAGTTCATAAACCAGAGCAAACAGTGATAAAAAAAAGCAAACGCATATATGTAATGACTCATTTGACCGAATTAGACGAACAATTTCATGCACTGTTTACTTAATTCTTAAATCCTTGTACATAAAAACATCAACGTATATTCATCCTTTCGTATTGTTTCAAGCAAAGCACGCATATTTCGATCCAAGATGGTATTAAAGAACCAAATAATTTAAAAGAAAAAAAACATATCTTACATTGGACTCAGACACTCCAAACCCCACGGACCTCTTAGAAGAGTCGATGAAAGAACCCTACAATTGCTCCTTTTCTCCTCCACCAGTTTTCCGTTACTCTTTCATCCCCAGGAACATTCTTCCTCCAGGCGCTAATTTAGTGCTCCGCGACCTCACATTCTTCACGTGTACCCTTCATCATCTTCACACAGTTCTCTCTTTCTTTTGTTTCCAAAGCTTTAAGAGGAGACGACGCCGTTTCCTTTTTCCCACTCTGGAGCTGCATTGGCCCTACTTGAGCAGCTAGATTGGGCTAGGCCACATAGGCTAAGCCCGGGTCAAAGATAAATTGGGTTTGAGTTTAAGTTTATTTAAAACAAGAGTAGGTTTTAATAATATAAAGGAATGGACTTGGGGAAAAACAAGCATTTTGGATTTGACTATGAATCTGATTTGGATTTTTTCCAGTTTATTTTATTATTAAAAGTACATGTCTCATTGAAGAAATACTTTTTCTGTACGCTCTATTAAATACAAAAATTTTGGGCTAACTATTATTTTAATTCTAAATTATACTTTCATTTTTTTATTACTAACTAATAATATGTTTTCATTTTACAGTAAGAGTCAAAATTATCATCAAGGTTTTTAAATTAAAATATTCTATTAATCTTTTTAACATATGTACCTTTTGTTTTTTCTGAAAAAATCGTATACATTATGATAAAAAAAATTTTAAATAATCAAAAATCATAATACTAATAATTAGTTGTTGATTTTCAGTAAAGGAATATCAATTTAT